GTGTCATGCTTTAAATCGCATGTGTTCAAACAGAATGTGCTCTTTGAGTAGTAATTTATAGTGTTTTCTAGTAAATCTTGGATAACTTAGATTTAAATTTGTGATAAAAGATTATTTGATTTCCAGTTATATTTCCTCTAAATCCTGTCTCCCTTATTTCTGTCTTGTCCTTTGTATTGTAATATATTTGCCTGAGTAGATCCTTGAATTTTTAGCTTTAAATCGTGTCATAAATCTGGTGTCTATTTCTATGCATGCGTCTTGTCAGCCTAGCAACTTAAGGAACTATCATAGAAAGGCAAATTTTCCAGTAACTGAGCATACCTTTGTATCTTCCTAATGCATGGAAGAGTATAGTATGTCACACATAAGTGTAATGTTGTCAATATATTGTAATGAATAACTGATGTTTCATTGGAAATGTTTAAACTGACCTGCCACATCACAAGTTACTGTTCTCTTGGCAGTCAGCCATCCATGGAACATGGGGACAGATGTCAGTGCTTGCTATACTCAGAGCTTTTGCCCCTAACCATTGCATGCGTGTGTATAATAGATGGAAAATTTAGGATTTGAAAGGAGGGAATGATTGAAGCAGAGCCATAGGCTTTAGATGGAGGAAAAACAGTTTTCTCTGATATGGAAGGCTAGAACTTAGTAAGCACTGCTCTCTGCCAGGTGCCAAACTCAGTACTTGGCCATTTTTTTGCTATATTTAGTCCACAAGCACATCCCCATGAGAAACCAGTTGCTGTGCTTGCCCCCAATTACAGATGTGGAAACTGAAATTTAGATCACATGATGTGCAGAGCAGGTATAAGTTAAGTCTGTTTTGATTCCAAAACCAGGACCATTTCTCCCTTGGGCCTGGATTTTTCAAGATGTTCTGATCTGCTGACAGTCTCCCTCTCAGAGGAAACCTTGGAAGTAAAAGCGGTGCCCTGGAAGCAGTGGGGATTGCGGAGTTTTCTTTCTGTTAGTCTAGAAGCTCCCCCTAATGCCTGCTGCCTCTGGCCCTGTGCTATGCCCGCTTCATGCTTCCTGCCTTCCTGGTGGTACACTTGTGGGGCAGTGCTGCTGCAGGTGCCAAGTGGTGATTGTCCTCAGCAGCTGTGTGTGAGCTTCTCTATGTGGCTGAGCAGAAGTGTAATTTAGTAAGGACACAGGTACAGATCCTCACTCTGTTGCTGATTAGTTCCTGGCCTGGGAGCTGTTCCTTGGCCCAGTGGAACCATGGCTTGCTCTCTTGTAAGTGAGGTAGTGATCCACACAGTAGTGCTGTTTGGAATGGCCCTGATCTGTGCCCGCCCAAAGTGAGATGCCGCGCTTTCACCAGCAGCCGGCCTCAGAGCTTACCTCTGTTCAGTGGACTTCAGTGTGGTTTGGATATTTTGGTTTTGGCAGTAAGAATTTCTCAGCAAAGGAAGCAGTCTGTTGACTTAGACTCAGACACTCTAGCCTCGTCTTGTTCACTAGTCATCTCTCCTCAGCATGCAGCCTGGTGACTTAGAGGAGACTTGCTCTGGGCTGGCTATGAAAATTAGCCTAGCAATGAGTCTAAGGACAGCAAATATGGACCAGACAAAGACTGGTATGGGATGGTTACTTTTACACTTTAGTTTTACCTGGCAGAGCGAGGTGACTTCTTGGCACTTGTAGAAAGGTCTGAGACAAGGCAGTGGGTCCTAGCCTTGGGTTTCCTCTCACAAGAGAACAGAGGCAGAATGAAGGCCTGGTTCAATGAGCCTAGAATGCTCTGGGCAGAGCGGGGCCAATGTAGGGGAGTCTTGGTGCAAGAATCACTTTTTGTGGGTGGAGCATAAGTATAGTGCCTTACCTCTTCTTTTTTCTTTTCTATTTTAACAAATGATTGTTTTAACCTGAAATTTTAAATGATGCCTGGTAAACAACATGGTCTTAAGTTTGATTTTTGGGTCCCTCCCAAAAATATTTTTGAACTTTTATGATTCTTGTTAGTAATTTCAAGCATGATGGCCTTCTTTAGAGATGAGATTGCTGGACGTTAAACACGGGGCCTTGAACATAATAAGTAAGCATGCTCTGATTACCCCAGCCCACAGCAGTCTTGTTTTGTTACTACAATTAGAAATGAGAGTCAGACAAGGTGGTATATGCCTGTAATCCCAGCACTCAGGAGGCTGATAAGGGAGGACTGCTGGAGTTTGAAGCCAGCCTGGGCTATCATGTGAGTTCATGGCCAGCCAGAACTGTATAATGAAACCTTATCTCAAAAAAGAGAGAGAAAGATACAGAATTTGTCTGTTTATCTGTTAAGATTATATCATGTTATATATCCTAATTTAAGATTGTATCCTAAGTTAACATTGTATCCTATGTGATTTTAGACTTGCAGCCTCTAGAACTGTCAGAAATAATTATCTGTTGTTTATTAATACCCAGCCTATGACTATGGTAGTTTTTTTTTTTTTTTTATAGTAGCTGGAAGTGACTGGGAGAGGGAGACTGCTAACAACATAAAGCCTCCTCATCTAGATGAGCATGAAACTAGATTCCACAGTGCTTAAAAATAGATAATACTAAGACATGCTTACAGAGATGACTACTCACAAACAGGTGCCTATTTCACTCGATCACAAATGGGTGGAGAATCTGCCAAAACTGCCAAAATAAGTGAGCATGATACTTAGAGACAGATTAACATCCATAGTAACAGGGACTGGCGGTAAAATGAAGCAGGTATGACAAAAAAACAACTTGGAATCTAGTAAATGAAACAGACCTTAGCTAGAATGATACAGTCTGTTGTGGACACGGTCAAAGACGGAGCATTGGCAGTAAGTCACCAAAGGTGAGCCAGATTGCAGCAAGAGAGACAAAATGAGAAAAATTCAAGGCCCTCAATTCAGGCAGGCCTAGAGGCAGGTCCACCTATTGATGTGATAGGTGTGTGAATAGAATTGATTTGATTTTTGACTTAGAGTAATTAGAGTCTACTTTTCTTCTACCTGCCCCAGAGTCTTTCTGATAAAAGATTCCATTAGAGAGAGGGCACACTCTGTCAGGAATGGTACTTATTAGGTGACCTGACAGTGAGCTCTTGCTTATCACCATGGCCGATGCCAGTTAGTACCTCGATCAGGGCCGTGTTGGCATCTACAGGAGAAATCTGTACCACAGGGAAGAGCTCACACTTAGTAGAGAACATGACAGAAGTCTAGATGGCCGGCTGGCCAATACCCTTTCCCCTACTGCTTCGCATCCACAAGTCCCATTCCTGAAGGTTGGCTTTGGGCCTATGAAGATGTCTCAACACTGGCTGGAACTCTGTCAGGTTTTAAGACACATTTGGATGATTTTTACCTGGTTGGCAGGCAGGAGCAAGCAGACCCTATGTTAGTGGCCTTGGTGAGGGGGCATTTGAGTGTGAGGAGACAATCCTGCATGGCAGGTCCAGGGAGCAGAGCCTGTGTTGTTGGCCTGGGGAAAGGACCTTACCTTGTTGGCCTGGGGGAAGAAGGGGCCTTCAGTTGGTCTGGATATGAGAATCATGTGTTGCTAGCTGGGAAAGAGAAGGCTCTGCTGGCCTGGGGAGAAGAATCTCTATGTTGTTATCTGGGGAGCCACCATGGTTTTGGCCTGGTGAAGGGCCCTGTGTTTTTGGCTGGAGGAGTCCGCTATGCTGAGCTGGGTGGGGGAGGCAAATAGAAGTCCTAATTCAAATACCATGGACTCCTGGCCTTATTCCTGATATTTCTTGAATAGATAATTTCCTCATTTGCTGTTATCCTTTGAGCCATTTCCAGAAGCTTTGAAGAGTGGTTTTCATCATTTCAGGTCTCCCTGGGGAGCAGGCTGCAAAGTTCCTGCCAGGCTAAGTTCGGCTCACCCACAGTCGTGATTTTTTGGAGAAGAAAAACTAGTTTAAAAGAAATTTTGCTCTTTTCCAGTGCTTTCTGTGACAGTGTCATCTCTATTTCTCTCTCACTTTACTTGCCCAATCTCACTGTGGCTCACATAGGCACATGAGTCGTGGTCTGGTTAAAGCAGACTTCATGGGCCTGTGCTTTCTGTGATGAGATTGACTGTGAGCTGCAAACAATTGCTACCAGTGCCCTGTAAGAGCATCGCCTGTTTTAAACTAGCTTTCTAGAATTATCTAGCTCAAGCACATGTTCTTTTGAAGGACTGATTATTTATCCGGTAGATCTTTATTCTTGTCTTTTAAAGGAAAAGCACCTAAAGCCAGAAACACTGGCAGATGATTTTACTTATTTCAGAGTTGCTTTGCTCCAAATTCACATTGCTCAATTCAGTTCATTTGTGGTATCTGTGAACCGGTGTCATAACACAAGGTTTAGCACAGAACAGTGCTGCAGGACTCCTGCAGCTTCTCTCTGCCTTTTGCAAGATCTCCTACACTGCTGCATGCATAGTGTTTTGAGAATGCCTTTACAGAGAATACAAAAGGCTTCCTAGTCCTAGCAGTAAGCCCATTCTTCATAGTTGACTTTCTCCAATGATTCAGGGAGACTATAGGGACTAAGGGAAAATCAGAATAGAGAGGGGACTAGAATTGGATAGTGACCTTCTAGGCCTTTTTTCCTTGATTTCTCTAAGGGCTCTAGGTCTCAGATCTGTGACTGACTTACAAATGTCTTCAGATGCTTCATTTTGGGATGCCAATTGAGGAAAATGCTTTTATTTCCTGAAGTCTAAAGAGGTGGACCTGGACACTCATTATCCCCTGCTGTGCTTTCAGCAGTGCCAGGGTGGAGGGAAGTCAGATGGCCTGGGTTAGACTCTCATTCCATTGGGAATACCTATGTCACCTTACGGCAAATGGTTGATCTCCATTTCTCTGGAGGAGAATGGGAATCCTTTGCCATGTATCTTGAGATTGGGCTGCCTGTGTGTGTGGACTATGAGGCCAATGGAAGTCTTGCTTAAGAGGTTTTTTTTTTTTTTTTAAATTTATTCATGTATGTGTTGATTTATTCCTTTACTTTGCTGCTTTGCAGGAGTCTTCAACGCTTGCAAAAGAGCTCAACATTTGCAGGGAACAGCTGCTTGAGAAGGAAAAAGAAATTGCTGAACTGAAAGCAGAAAGGAACAACATGAGGGTCAGTGGAGCTCTGGTTTAAGTGTTTTGTGCTTTTTCCTTCTGTAGAGTGTGTTCAGTATTAAATGTTGCTTAAAATTTGTGATAGAAGGCAAAGCATGGTGGCATATGCCTTCAATCCCAACATTCTGAGCCAGGAATGTCTTGAGTTAGAGGTCAGCCTGGGCTAGCTAGTAAGTCCTCAAGCCAGCCTAGACTACAAAATGAGACCTTCTTGTTAATAAAAGAAATTAGTGATGGAAATTCATGACATTCGAATACAATTGAGGGAAATTTACCTAACTCTACTGAATTGTAGGAATTTGAACTTGTTTGACCATGAGATTATGAAGGATTTGAATGTGAAATTGAAGGTGCTCTTTACACGCCCCCTTTGGCCTGGTTTCAGCTGCTCCTGGAACATCTGGAGTTCCTTGTCTCCAGGCATGAACGCTCTCTCGAAACGACTGTGATGAAGCGGTGTCCTGCAGGTGTGTCCACAGAGATGGAAGTGCTAAAAGCACTGACATCCTTATTTGACCACCACAAGACCCTGGACGAAAAGGTACATGAGCTACACTAGTGGTTCTGGGTTCTTACACTTGCTGGGTTCATGGCAGACTTTGCATGTGTTTGTTTACCTTTAAGGTTTGCTAAGTTTTTGAGTTCTTGTAAACAGACTTTCTGTATTAAAAGGCAATGTTCTGCATAATCAACAAACACTAACTGGAATGTGAGTCTTCAATTGATTATTTCTGAATATTGACTGCCCATTAAGAACTGGATAGTGTTCATTTATTTAGGAACAAGAGTTTCCTGGCCTTAATATTTAAAGCCATTAACAAGGACATTTTCTTGACAGTACTAGCAATGAAAGACATTGAAAGTACTTTATTATATGCCTTTCATCAATATCAGGATAACTATATGGAAAGTGTGCGTATGCATATAAAAACTCAACTCTTTTCAGGTACGAGAGCAATTACGTGTAGCACTGCAAAGGTGCAGCTTGCTGGAAGAGGAACTGGGCGCCACGCAGAAGGAGGTAATTGTGGGACATCATCCTAGCCCTGAAAAGGGAAAATTATTTTATTTTAATCTCTTAAAAAACAGTGTGAAGCCTGTAATACTATTGGATTAGATTTTTATTTCAGATTGCAAGAATCTCTAAATTTGTTGTCAAGCAGTCAGTACATTCTGTTTCTAGTAATCTGGTTCTGCTATGGATGGTCAGCTTTGGCATGTACTGTCTTTTTTATACTATGTTCAGCACTGTAGAATTATGTTTTTCCAAATGGAATTTTGCTGTCTTTACTCATTACTCTTCCATAAGTTATTGTAGTCTCATACTCAGTTTTCGATTGTAGCTAATGACTCTTAAAAAACAGAATAATGAGAAAAAATCACCAAGAGATGGAGTGCTTGACCATGAAGAAGAAGAAACACCAAGCACTAGTGGAAAGGTAAGTCCTTGAGATCTCTCTTTGTTCTGTTGCTGATTTCTTATATTTTGTGGTTCGTGTGTGATGCTGTTTGGATGCTGTTGCTGGAATGGCCTGCTTCCAGCTAAAGTGATTGTTGAGAGTCCTATCATCCAACAGATGGCATAAATCCATTTTGATAGTCCCTATGTTCAAAAGTATTTTATTTGGTAGTACACTAAGGTTATTTAAGAGTGTCCATTTTACCCATCAGAGATCTTCTGCTGGCTCCTTAAGCCATGAGGAAGACCTTGCCAAAATAATTGTGCTCCAAGAAGTCATACATAAACATTCAAAAGAGCAGAGTCAGATGAAGGAGCTCCTGGCTGCACTTTCCAGCCATGTGTCAGAGCTGCAAGAAAATCTTGACACAGCAAGAAAGGATCTCATCAAGTCTGAAGAGATGAACAAGAAATTGGAACGAGATGTTCATGAAATAAGTGATAAAAATTACAGGGTTGTCATAATGTTGAGTGCTTGGAGTGTTAAGGATAATGATTCCCTTTTTTTTTTTTTTTCCTTTCCTTGGTCGGTTATTTTCAGCATTTGCACTGTTGAATGAGTATAAATATGAATAATACAACACAGTATTGCTGTCAGATCGTGACATACCGCCTCCCCCTGGTTGAGAAATTTCTCCTTTTCTGTGGTCTTTTAAAAAGGTAGAGGAGAACTTGCCCAGCTTTTCCCACTTAGTTTATGGGAGTTTGTCCTCCACCCTCATGTGGATTCTTCATCTTTGCAGCTTCTTGGCTGTCATCATGTGTTCTTCTTTATGTTCAGCTTCTCAAGTACATGCACTCCTTAAACAAGGATTTTCAGTACTAGTTGTGCTTTGAGTTCGCTAAAGAGATGTGAGTATTCTCTGGGACTGTGGCAAAGGGAGCATTATCAGGTGTCTTCTAATTTTTTCATATTTTTCCTCAGGCACAGAGGTATGGTATTGAATTTTGGATGTTACATCAGCTCTAATGTGTGAATAGTTTTTGGGTAGTTTAGGCTTTGTGCTTATCTTGCCTATGAGATCTCATTTCATGTGAAATTGTATTTACAACATTCTGCTTTGCACCTGTACTTGTATCTTTGGTTTTATTTCTCTTGCTATACATTTTACTTTTTAGTGGCATTCTTAGCCAGAATATTAATCAAATTAAGCAAGTCATTTTAGTGGAATGTTCAGTGTCAGCAGTCTGTTTTGTGACATTTGGATGTATTTATAATTTATACTGTTAACTAACTGAGCAATATTTTTCTTTTCTTTTCCTGTTTTTTTTTTTTTTTTTTTTTTTTTTTGGACATATTGGGTTTGAACCTAGGGTTTCTCACATACTAGGCAAGCACCAAACCACTCACCAAACCATTTTCTTTTCTTTTTTCTTTTCTTTTGGTACTATGAATTGAACTCATGATGTTCTGCTTGACAGGCAAGTGCTATGCCATGGAGCTATATCCCTGACCCTTTTTCTTCTTTTCAAACTTATTTTATTTATTAGTGTTTAGTTTTTTGAAAAAAGGATCTTGTGGTGTAATTCAAGCTGGCCTTGAACTCATGGCAGTTCTCCTGCCTCAGCCTCTCACATGCTGGGATTACAGACATGTGGCACCAAGCCTGGCATTGTATTTTCATCTTTTTGACAATCTCATTTATCAGTTGTGTCCTTCTTTCCAGTATTTGTAAAAGAAGTGCAGCAACACATCTGTAATCCCAGCTACTTGTGGACTGAAGTGGGAGGTTTGCCAGTTTAAGGTCAGCCTGGGCAATTTAGGAAGACACTGACTCAAAAAGAGCTGAGTATCCCAAGCATAGTGGGTGAACCCTATCTTTCTAGCTACCCAGGAGACTGAGGCAGACAATCATAAGTTCAAGGGTAGGCTGCCCAATTTAGCAAGACCTTGTTTTGAAATTAAAAGGAAAAAAATATGGGACCATAGCTCAGTGTTAGAGTACCCCTGCCTTCTATTCCCAGTACCACACACAACCACGGAGGAAAACTCTTTCTTCCTGGTTCTCTAATTCAGCATGCTGGCTGACGGTCTGTGTGCTTCCATTGTTGGTTTTGATTTCTTATGCCACCCTTGTGTTTGTTTTATTTTAACCATCTCCAGATTCAATTCCAATCCAGGCCTCAGGTCCCTATCAATTTGTAGTTTGTCCATGAAGCTCCCCTCTCAGCCCCTCCCCATTCTGTGATGGCTCTGCACAGCTAACCAGGCAAGCACGTGTGAGTCTGAGCTGGATTATGACTGATTAGTGGGGCTTGGGGTTTTTGTCATTAAAAATGTATTTTGCTCAGTAGTGATCAATTATATTTAATATATAATTTGTCAATGTGGTTACAAGCAAGATATAATTGGTTGAATGTTTTTCCTTAGATTGTACAGGATCTGCATGATTCATGAGTGAAGTATTTCCTAGGTTAAAAAATAATCTGGGCTCACTGCAGTGGCACATGCCTGTAATGCCAGCTACTGGGGAAGCTAAGAAGGAGGATTTTAAGTCTGAGGCCAGCATGAGAAGTTTAGCAATGTGCTATGTCAAAATAAAAATATAAACGTGGCTGGCAGTGTAGTTTGTTGAGTGGCCCAGCTGGATTCAACCCTGCATACTGCAGGAGCAAGGGGAGGGGCCACTGCTGAGTGTAAAATTTATGGGAACTTTATACAGACAATACGAATCAGATTTTATTGATTATAATCAGAATTCTAAATCTCATCAACTTATAGGGCATATGCTATAGTCTTTAATGGACTACTTTTTAATTAAAATGCCTCCTATCTAGTACTGTGCTAGCTTTTATTGTTACGTATTTTAGGATGCCTAGCTTTCTTTCTTTCTTTTTTTTTTTTTTCCATTCCATTCCACTCCTTTGTATTCCACAGTATCTCGGATGGAATCTAGGCCTGTGCACTGAGATACACACATGACCCTTTTTTTTTTCAGTATTATTTTTTATTGTGAGACAGGATCGTGCTAAATCACCAAGATGAGCTCAAAATTGGCAGCCTTCCTGCCTCAGCCTACCAGAGTGCTGTGATTTCATGTGTATGCCACTGCACGAGGGATAAATGATATATTTTAGGAAGTTGTAAATCATATTCTAGGTGAAGATTTTACTGCATTGCACAAAAAATGATTAACTAAAAATAAGTTTGTTCAGTGTTTTGTGTTTTTCTGAGACAGGATGACACCATGCAGTTCAGGCTGGCTTTGAACTCATGTAGTGCAGGTTGGCAGTTCTCCAGGCTTAGCTTCACAAATGCGGGGATTACAAGTCTGCACCACCATGCCTGGCTCTTCAGTTTTATAATAGATGTTGCTGTAACATCCTTGTCATCATGGGAATATTAGAGAGTAGGTGGTTATCAGGGCCCTTTGTTCTATACAGTGTCTTGCTTTAAATCGCATGTGTTCAAATAGAATGTGCTCTTTGAGTAGTAATTTATAGTGTTTTCTAATAAATCTTGGATAACTTAGATTTAAATTTGTGATAAAAGATTATTTGATTTCCAGTTATATTTTCTCTAAATCCTGTCTCTCTTATTTCTGTCTTGTCCTTCATATTGTAATATATTTGCCTGAGTAGATCCTTGAATTTTTAGCTTTAAATCGTGTCATAAATCTGGTGTCTATTTCTTTGCATGTGTCTTGTTAGCCTAGCAACTTAAGGAAACATCATAAAAAGGTAAATTTTCCAGTAAGTGAGCATAGCTTTGTATCTCCCTAATGCATGGAAGAGTATAGTATGTCACACATAAGTGTAATGTTGTCAATATATTGCAATGAATAAGTGATGTTTCATTGGAAATGTTTAAACTGACCTGCCACATCACAAGTTACTGTTCTCTTGGCAATCAGCCATCCATGGAACATGGGGACAGATGTCAGTGTTTGCTTCACTCAGTGCTTTTGCCTCTAACCATTGCATGCATGTGTATAATAGACATAGAATTTAGGATTTGAAAGGACGGAATGATTGAAGCAGAGCCATAGGCTTTAGATTGAGGAAAACTAGTTTTTTCTGATATGGAAGCCTAGAACTTAGTAAGCACTGCTCTCTGCCAGGTGCCAAACTCAGTACTTGGCCATTTTTTTGCTATATTTAGTCCACAAACACATCCCTGTGAGAAACCAGTTGCTGTGCTTGCCCCCAACTACAGATGTGGAAACTGAAATTTAGATCACATGATGTGCAGAGCAGGTAGGAGTTAAGTGTGTTTTGATTTCAAAACCAGGACCATTTCTCCCTTGGGCCTAGATTTGTCAAGATGCTCTGATCTGCTGGGAGTCTCCCTCTCAGAGTAAAACTTGAAAGTAAAAGCAGTACCCTGGGAGCAGTGGGGATTGTGGGGTTTTCTTTCTGTCCATCTAGAAGCTCCCCCTAATGCCTGCTGCCTCTGGCCCTGTGCCATGCCCGCTTCATGCTTCCTGCCTTCCTGGTGGTACACTTGTGGGGCAGTGCTGCTGCAGGTGCCAAGTGGTGATTGTCCTCAGCAGCTGTGTGTGAGCTTCTCTATGTGGCTGAGCAGAAGGGAAATTTACTAAGGACACGGGTACAGATCCTCACTCTGTTGCTGATTAGTTCCTGGCCTGGGAGCTGTTCCTTGGCCCAGTGGAACCATGGCTTGCTCTCTTGTAAGTGAGGTAGTGATCCACACAGTAGTGCTGCTTGGAATGGCCCTGATCTGTGCCCGCCCAAAGTGAGATGCCGCGCTTTCACCAGCAGCCGGCCTCAGAGCTTACCTCTGTTCAGTTGACTTCAGTGTGGTTTGGATATTTTGGTTTTGGCAGTAAGAATTTCTCAGCAAAGGAAGCAGTCTGTTGACTTAGACTCAGACACTGTGGCCTCCTCTTGTTCACTAGTCATCTCTCCTCAGCATGCAGCCTGGTGACTTTGAGAAGACTTGCTCTGGGCTGGCTGTGAAGATTAGCCTAGCAGTGAGTCTAAGGACAGCAAATATGGGCCAGACAAAGAGCGATATGGGATGGTTACTTCTTCATTTCAGTTTTACTGGGCAGACTAAGGTGACTTCTTGGCACTTGTAGACATGTCTGAGACAAGGCAGTGGGCCCTAGCCTTGTGCTTTCCTCCCACAAGAGAACAGAGGCAGAATGAAGACCTGGTTCAGTGAGCCTGGAAGGCTCTGGGCAGAGCAGGGGCTAGTGTAGGGGAGTCTTGGTGCAAGAATCTCTTATGTCACATTTGGTTTTACTCTCTTCCAAAAAAAGCAACAAGAACCGTGGGAGCAATGAAACCCAAAATGTGTAATAGTCACTGTACAAAAGAGAGGAAAAGAAAGTGCTCTAAACTATATAACTGCATGTATATTTAAATGTATAAGATAGAAAATGATAGCACAAAGTTTTATTGGATCATTGAACAGAACTGTTTGCAGTATCATTGTTGGAATGTCCACTCTACAAGCTTTAATTTTGTGACTTAAACAATTATTTCTAAGATGGCAATATGTAATCCATTAACTAGTGATTTCCTACTGCGCATTTTTTTATTCTGTAAATCTGTATAACTTGTACCCCTTCACTGTTTTTTTTTCTTTCTTTTCTTTTCTCCTTAAATAAATAAAAAAAAATCTCTTTTTGTGGGTGGAGCATACGTATAGTGCCTTACCTCTTCTTTTTTCTTTTCTACTTTAACAAATGATTATTTTAACGTGAAATTTAAATGATGCCTGGCAAACAATGTCCTAAGTTTGACTTCTTTTTCCCTCCCAAAAAGTTTTTTTGAACTTTTATGATTCATGTTGTTGATTTCAAGCTTGATGGACTTTTTTAGAGATGAGATTGCTGGCGGTTAAACACAGGGCCTCAAACAAGCTAAGTAAGTGAGCTCTGGTTACCCCAGCCCCCGACAGTCTTTTGTTTTGTTACTACAATTAGAAATGAGAGCCAGACAAGGTGATATATGCCTGTAATCCCAGCACTCAGGAGGCTGATAAGGGAGGACTGCTGGAGTTTGAAGCCAGCCTGGGCTATCATGTGAGTTCATGGCCAGCCAGAACTGTATAATGAAACCTTATCTCAAAAAAAAGAGAGAAAGATACAGAATTTATCTGTTTATCTGTTAAGATTATATCCTAGCGGGCTGGAAGTTTAGCTCAGCAGCATAAACGCCTGCCTTGTAAGCAGGCAGTCGTGAGTTCGATCCCCAGCACCAATAAAAAGGAAAAAGACAAAAAAAAAATTATATCCTAAATGCTCTCAGCTCACACTAGTCTAGGTGGTCTTCAGTGAGCTGCTACAGGACTATAATGGAATCTGTATCCTTTATACCATTGTACAGATAAATAAATTAACTATTCACCACTTGTTGTTCACCATGAATGTTTCATGAAATCTAGTCCTGCTTCAAAACCTGAAAATAACAACCTTCTAAACAGGGCCTAACCAGACCCTGAAAGAGTTCACATATGCACTATTTCCACAGTCCTGCCTTCCTCAACACATAGGCATACTCATGGGCCATCCCCTAAAAGAAATCCCAGGGTCTGCGTGACCCTCTTTTAATAATATACCCAGGATTATTATTATTTTTTTATTTAAGGAGAAAAAGAAAAAAAAAACAGAAAAAGGATACAAGTGATACAGAATTTCAAAAAAAAAATAAACAGTAGGAAGTCACTAGTTAATAGATTACATACTGTCATCTTAGAAATGGTTGTTCAGATTACAAAATTAAAGCATATAAAGTAGACATTCAAACTGTGAGACTACAAACAATTCTGTTCAATGATCCCACAAAAACTTAGCAATATGGTTATCTATCTTATACACTTAAATATACATGCAATTATATCCTTTAGAGCACTTTCTTTTCCTCTCTTTTTTACTATGACAATTATACATTTTGGGTTTTATTACTCCCACAGTTCTTATTACTTTCTATTTGAAGAGAATAAAATCCAATGTGACATAACAAAACAGAGTCAGTCAAATCAAAAGAATGGATATAGTACATAATATAAAAACGGAAGACAAAGTGATGATGATCATTGGTTACCATAATGCCTCTTGCTATCTTAAAAAGAATTGCCTATATCATCAGTTATAATAAAACTGAAAACATTAAAGAACAAAACCAATAAAAGCAAAACATTGGAGACATTGCAGGACTTCAAAAAAAGATAATATGCAAACCCAAAACCCAGGATTATTTTATGAAGCCACATGGAAGGAGGGTTTTAGGCTGCATGCAAATGCTTCTGCTCATAACATTTGGTCCACACAGTGAGAAACAGAAGCCACACACATGCATATTTGGGTCTTCGCTCATGCTGTCCTTGTCTTGTTTCTTGCTAGAGGTAAAAGTATTGACAGTTTCCCTGAAGCTTCGGCCCCCACTAGTGTTCCTTTGAGTGACATCAGTAACTGAAGATATGTGTCACAGGCTCTTCAGTAATGAGAGTAACTTTGTTAACCTGAAGTGATAAAGTGCAGTGAACAGGCTTCGTTTAGGACTTCACTGTCCCTCAGTAACTATCCTCAGAGGTACCTGAGGTTGTACAGAGAACAGAATCTTGAAGGGGGGGTGATGCTGTCCCTGGGCTTCCCGGGGCTTCCATGAAGGAAGGCTATAGGTCAACCTGCCCTGCTCTCTCTCTGCTATGTGGTCCATTTCCCCCAGACAAACAGGCCTTCAGGTTGGCATTCAATTAAAATGAGACTTCTCAGGACAGGTAGAAAGTTTAGCTAATAGGTTTTGAGTCAGTTTATGTTATTTAAAGCCTATGTGATGTGTTTTCTTATAATGTACTGTTAGCTGATGTTGTTTTTTCCCTCCTCAGTTGCTAGCTTGCAGAGAAGAAGAACGAGATGACAAGACAACGATAAAATGTGAAACTTCCCCTCTCTCCTCTCCGAAGTCCCTTCAGCTAGACAGGCTGCACACAGGGGCGTTGCAAATAGTCAGCCACGAGGACATCAGGGACATGCAAAAGTAAGGAGCAGGTCTCGTAGGCCACCAGACCCCTGAGAAACCTGCTTGTCTTAGTTTTTAAGAACATCTATTAATCTTTTCCTGTGAGAAAAACCAAGTTTTTAAAGAATTCTCAGCAAGCTCATTTGGTTGTGATTATTTAAACGTTAGACCTACAATGTGTTCTCCTGTTCTGCGGCTGTAGTGACATCCAGTGGAAAAGGCCATCTGTTTGGGCAAAGTTTAGAAAGAATAGGAATTATTTGAAATTAGCACTTGAGAGAAAAGCTCCATTTCTTCAGATCCCACACACTCACTTCTTTTAAGAACTTTCTTTCTATTCCTGGTGAAGAATTTGCCACACGGATGTGGCAGGTTCTGGATCATGCTATTCTGTGGACAATCGGTGCCTCTCAGGTACCCTCCCACACTCTGGGTCTTCTAAGCTCTTGAGAGTCCCACATTGTCCCTATCCCTTTAGGAAGCATGTTCCATCAGGAGGCCATGAAGGCTTGGTTACTTATAGACTGTTGTTTTCCACACTTCCTCTTAGAAGCTTTTGTTCCATACCAGGCAGTATGATCAAGCAGGCACATTTGTCTCCACAGTGTCCTGAGAGATAGTACAGCTCTCACTTTGCAGGAGAGCAGGATCCAAGGAACCAGCCTGCAGGAGCTGCTGAGAGGGAAGGTGGAATTCCAGTTCTTCTGGCTTCTGAGACCTTGTTCTCTTTCCTGAGGGCTGAGTGTAAACCTCACTGGCTGAGCAAGGCCCCTGCAGAGGGTGTTCCCTTAGATGTCCAAACCAGGCAGGCTAGAGTACAGGCCTCCTCTGAGCAGGGAGCAACATCAGAATCTTGGCTTTCCAGACATAGGTCTGTGGAAGCATTACTGGGACCCTGCATTGCTATGCATAGTGTGCTGTGGGTAAGAGACTGGAAAGGATCTTCAGGGAGTTGAAGTAGGAATATTAAAAATGCAGACTGTTTTGGTACATGTGAGTGGACTGTGGAGTTCTAAAGAGGGCATGTGATAAAAGTCCATTTTCTTTCCTTCAAGATCAAAAAGTGCCCAGGATGGTCCTGTGAGCAATCCCAGTAGCAGTGACAGCAGGCAGGACTCGCCCCACAAAGCCCCAAAGAAGAAGGGCATCAAGTCCTCCATTGGTCGTATGTTTGGCAAAAAGGAAAAGGGTCGGCCTGGACAAACTGGCAAAGAATCACCAGGACAAGGTGGGTGGGGTTTTGGCAGCTGTCCTAACTGCTGGGAATGGGAGAACGTGAACTTTGTCCTGTGTGCCTGCCGCAGGTGCGCAGTGCCCACGTGGAGTCATGGCTGAGGGTTCTCCAGAAAAGCCCAGTCTGCTTTCTCAGTCTGCCCATGTGTGAACCAAAGCAGAGCAGTGGACATTCATTTGGCATGAATGAATAACCCTCATAAGTGCTACTTTACACTCTTGAACATTTGTATGTGTTTGCTTGGAAGCTTACACTTCAGAAATTATTTAGCTCTCTACCTGCAGAACCTTCAACCTATTTGTGAAACATATAACTTTGCCATGTTAATTTACTGTAAATTTGGGGGCTTTTCTGATTTTTTAATAGCTGTTCTTTCTGAAACAGAAACCTCATCTCAGGATGCGTTCCGACTTAGCAAATTGGGAGGAAAGGCTGAAAAAAATCAAAAATTTCAAAAAAAGTAAGCTTTTTGTTATTTCTCCATCTCATGAAACAGGTTTCTGAGTTAACAGTAATTGTTAGCTGATTTTAAGTGTAATTTCTAGCTATGTAAATACATTGTCTTTTGAAAGATGAACCTAAAGCAGTGATAGAGCTTTCAGTGATACAAAGAGCTTGCTGCAGCATGCACGCCATAGGTTTGCCTCCATTGACTTAAAGCCTGTTTTAAGCCATCATGTCTGGAGAACAGAGGACATTTGGAAATTTGGACTGAACTCACACATGTATTCTCAGTCTACCTTTTCAGAGTTGTCTCCCAGGATGATAGAATGGGTAATAGTTAGGCTTGGCCATTTGAGCTCTGGCCGCTGAATCCTGGTTAATTCTCTAGTTAGCTGTGTGTCTCTGACAAAGTTACTTATCCTGTGCTTCAGTTTTCTCAACTGCCAAATGGCAGTTACAGTTGTTCATACATCATGTGGCTGTTTTTCAGTTCAATAGAATTATATATGTGCATGTATATGTTTTATAACATGGACACAATTCCTAAATAAGTTACAATTACAGTCAGGCTTCTGAGACCTTGTTTTCTTTCCTGTTGACTGAGTGCATCCCTCAGTGCCTGAGCAAGGCCCCTGCAGAGGGTGTTCCCTTATGTGTCCCAACAAGGCAGGCTAGAGTACAGGCCTGCTCTGAGCAGGGAGCACATCAGAATCTTGGCTTTCCAGACACAGGTCTGTGGAAGCATTACTGGGACCCTGCATCACAATGCATATTGTACTGTGTGTAAGAGACTCGAAATGTTTTTTAGGAAGTTGAAGGTAGGAATATTAAAAATGCAGACTGTTCTTGTACGTGTGGATGGACTGTGGAGCTGGGAAGAGGGTGGTAAAAATCCATTTTATTTCTTTGAAGCTCAACAGGCTCCCAGGAAGGTCCTGTGAACAATCCCAGTACCAGTGACAGCAGGCAGGACGCGCTCCACAAAGCCCCAAAGAAGAAGAGCATCAAGTCCTCCACTGGTCGTTTGTTTGGCAAAAAGGAAAAGGGTCCGCCTGGACAAACTGGCAAAGAATCACCAAGACAAGGTGGGCCGGTTTTAGGCAGCTGTCCTAACTGCTGGGATTGGGAGAGCATGCGCTTTTTCCTATGTACCTGCCACAGGTGTCCAGTGCCCACAAGGAATCATGGCTGAGCATTCTCCAGACAGCCCAGTCTGCCCACATGTGAACCAGAGCAGAGCAGTGGACATTCATTTGGCGTGAATGAATAACCCTCTTATATGCTAATTTATACGCTTGAACATTTATATGTGTTTGCTCGGAAGCTTACCCTTCAGAAATGATTCAGCTCTCTACCTGCAGAATCTTCTTCCTATTTGTGAAACATATAACTTTGCCATGTTAATTTACTCTAAATTTGGTGAATTTTCTTCTTTTTTGTAGCTGTTGTTTCTGAAACAGAAAACTCATCTCAGGATGCCTTCCAACTTAGCAAATTGGGAGGAAAGGATGAAAAAAATCATCAACTTCAAAAACAGTAAGCTTTTTGTTATTTCTCCATCTCATGAAACAGTTTTCTGAGTTAACAGTCATTCTTAGCTGATTGTAAGTGTAATTTCTAGCTATGTAAATACATTGTCTTTTGAAAGATGAACCTAAAGCAGTGATAGAGCTTTCAGTGATACAAAGAGCTTGCTGCAGCATGCACGCCATAGGTTTGCCTCCACTGACCTAAAGCCTGTTTTAAGCCATCATGTCTGGAGAACAGAGGACATTAGGAAGTCTTGACTGAATTCACACATGTATTCTTAGTCTACCTTTTCAGAGTGTTCTCCCAGGATAATAGAATGGGTAATGGTTAGGCTTGGCCATTTGAGCTCTGGCCGCTGAATCCTGGTTAATTCTCTAGTTAGCTGTGTGTCTCTGACAAAGTTACTTATCCTGTGCTTCAGTTTTCTCAACTGTCAAATGGCAGTTACAGTTGTTCATACATCATGTGGCTGTTTTTCAGTTCAATAGAATTATATATGTGCATGTATATGTTTTATAACATGGACACAATTCCTAAATAAGTTACAATTACAGTCAGGCTTCTGAGACCTTGTTTTCTTTCCTGTTGACTGAGTGCATCCCTCAGTGCCTGAGCAAGGCCCCTGCAGAGGGTGTTCCCTTATGTGTCCAAACAAGGCAGGCTAGAGTATAGGCCTTCTCTGAGCAGGGAGCACATCAGAATCTTGGCTTTCCAGACACAGGTCTGTGGAAGCATTACTGGGACCCTGCATCACAATGCATATTGTACTGTGTGTAAGAGACTCGAAATGTTTTTTAGGAAGTTGAAGGTAGGAATATTAAAAATGCAGACTGTTCTTGTACGTGTGAATGGACTGTGGAGCTGGGAAGAGGGTGGTAAAAATCCATTTTATTTCTTTGAAGCTCAACAGGCTCCCAGGAAGGTCCTGTGAACAATCCCAGTACCAGTGACAGCAGGCAGGATGCGCTCCACAAAGCCCCAAAGAAGAAGAGCATCAAGTCCTCCACTGGTCGTTTGTTTGGCAAAAAGAAAAAGGTTCTGCCTGGAAAAACTGGCAAAGAATCACCAAGACAAGGTGGGCCGGTTTTAGGCAGCTGTCCTAACTGCTGGGATTGGGAGAGCCTGAGATTTTTCCTATGTGCCTGCTGCCGGTGTCCAGTGCCCACGAGGAGTCATGGCTGAGCGTTCTCCTGACAGCCCAGTTTGCCCACATGTGAAACAAAGCAGAGCAGTGGAAATTCATTTGGCTTGAATGAATAACCCTCTTATATGCTAATTTATACTCTTGAACATTTATATGTGTTTGCTCGGAAGCTTACCCTTCAGAAATTATTCAGCTCTCTACCTGCAGAATCTTCTTCCTATTTGTGAAACATATAACTTTGCCATGTTAATTTACTCTAAATTTGGGGGCTTTTCTTCTTTTTTGTAGCTGTTGTTTCTGAAACACCAAACTCATCTCAGGATGCCTTCCAACTTAGCAAACTGGGAGGAAAAGATGAAAAAAATCATCAACTTCAAAAACAGTAAGCTTTTCGTTATTTCTCCATCTCATGAAACAGTTTTCTGAGTTAACAGTCATTCTTAGCTGATTTTAAGTGTAATTTCTAGCTATGTAAATACATTGTCTTTTGAAAGATGAATCTAAAGCAGTGATAGAGCTTTCAGTGATACAAAGAGCTTGCTGCAGCATGCACGCCATAGGTTTGCCTCCATTGACCTAAAGGCTGTTTTAAGCCATCATGTCTGGAGAACCAAGGACATTTGGAAATTTTGACTTAACTCACACATTTATTCTCAGTCTCCCTTTTCAGACTTGTCTCCCTAGTGGACAGAGTGGTTAAGAGTTAGGCTTAGACATTTGAACTCTGGCCGCTGAATCCTGGTTAATTCTCTAGGTAGCTGTGTGTCTCTGACAAAGTTACTTATCCTGTGCTTCAGTTTTCTCAACTGTCAAATGGCAGTTACAGTTGTTCATACATCATGTGGCTGTTTTTCAGTTCAATAGAATTATATATGTGCACGTATATGTTTTAAAACATGGACACAGGTCCTAAATATGTTACAATTATAGTCAGGCTTCTGAGACCTTGTTCTCTTTCCTGTTGACTGAGTGCATCCCTCAGTGCCTGAGCAAGGCCCCTGCAGAGGGTGTTCCCTTATGTGTCCAAACCAAGCAGGCTAGAGTACAGGCCTGCTCTGAGCAGGGAGCACATCAGAATCTTGGCTTTCCAGACACTGGTCTGTGGAAGCATTACTGGGACCCTGAATCACAATGAATATTGTATTGTGTGTAAGAGAGTTGAAAAATTCTTTAGGAAGTTGAAGGTAGGAATATTAAAAATGCACACTTTTCTTGTACATGTGAATGGACTGTGGAGCTGTGAAGAGGGTGGTAAAAGTCCATTTTCTTTCCTTCAAGCTCAACAGGCTCCCAGGATGGTCCTGTGAGCGTTCCCAGCAGCAGTGACAGCAGGGAGGACCCACTCCACAAAGCTCTAAAGAAGAAGAGCATCAAGTCCTCCACTGGTCATTTGTTTGGCAAAAAGGAAAAGGGTTCGCCTGGACAAACTGGCAAAGAATCACCAAGACAAGGTGGGCCGGTTTTAGGCAGCTGTCCTAACTGCTGGGATTGGGAGAACATGCCCTTTTTCCTATGTACCTGCCACAGGTGTCCAGTGCCCACAAGGAATCATGGCTGAGCATTCTCAAGACAGCCCAGTCTGCCCACATGTGAACCAGAGCAGAGCAGTGGACATTCATTTGGCGTGAATGAATAACCCTCTTATATGCTAATTTATACGCTTGAACATTTATATGTGTTTGCTCAGAAGCTTACCCTTCAGAAATTATTCAGCTCTCTACCTGCAGAATCTTCTTCCTATTTGTGAAACGTATAACTTTGCCATGTTAATTTACTCTAAATTTGGGGAATTTTCTTCTTTTTTGTAGCTGTTGTTTCTGAAACAGAAAACTCATCTCAGGATGCCTTCCAACTTAGCAAATTGGGAGGAAAGGATGAAAAAAATCGTCAACTTCAAAAACAGTAAGCTTTTTGTTATTTCTCCATCTCATGAAACAGTTTTCTGAGTTAACAGTCATTCTTAGCTGATTGTAAGTGTAATTTCTAGCTATGTAAATACATTGTCTTTTGAAAGATGAACCTAAAGCAGTGATAGAGCTTCCAGTGATACAAAGAGCTTGTTGCAGCATGCACACCATAGGTTTGCCTCCATTGACCTAAAGCCTGTTTTAAGCCATCATGTCTGGTGAACAGAGGACATTTGGAAATCTTGACTGAATTCACACATGTATTCTCAGTCTACCTTTTCAGAGTGTTCTCCCAGGATGATAGAATGGGTAATAGTTAGGCTTGGCCATTTGAGCTCTGGCTGCTGAATCCTGGTTAATTCTCTAGTTAGCTGTGTGTCTCTGACAAAGTTACTTATCCTGTGCTTCAGTTTTCTCAACTGTCAAATGGCAGTTACAGTTGTTCATACATCATGTGGCTGTTTTTCAGTTCAATAGAATTATATATGTGCATGTATATGTTTTATAACATGGACACAATTCCTAAATAAGTTACAGTTACAGTCAGGCTTCTGAGACCTTGTTTTCTTTCCTGTTGACTGAGTGCATCCCTCAGTGCCTGAGCAAGGCCCCTGCAGAGGGTGTTCCCTTATGTGTCCAAACAAGGCAGGCTAGAGTACAGGCCTGCTCTGAGCAGGGAGCACATCAGAATCTTGGCTTTCCAGACACAGGTCTGTGGAAGCATTACTGGGACCCTGCATCACAATGCATATTGTACTGTGTGTAAGAGACTTGAAACGTTTTTTAGGAAGTTGAAGGTAGGAATATTAAAAATGCAGACTGTTCTTGTACGTGTGAATGGACTGTGGAGCTGGGAAGAGGGTGGTAAAAATCCATTTTATTTCTTTGAAGCTCAACAGGCTCCCAGGAAGGTCCTGTGAACAATCCCAGTACCAGTGACAGCAGGCAGGACGCGCTCCACAAAGCCCCAAAGAAGAAGAGCATCAAGTCCTCCACTGGTCGTTTGTTTGGCAAAAAGGAAAAGGGTCCGCCTGGACAAACTGGCAAAGAATCACCAAGACAAGGTGGGCCGGTTTTAGGCAGCTGTCCTAACTGCTGGGATTGGGAGAGCATGCGCTTTTTCCTATGTACCTGCCACAGGTGTCCAGTGCCCACAAGGAATCATGGCTGAGCATTCTCCAGACAGCCCAGTCTGCCCACATGTGAACCAGAGCAGAGCAGTGGACATTCATTTGGCGTGAATGAATAACCCTCTTATATGCTAATTTATACGCTTGAACATTTATATGTGTTTGCTCGGAAGCTTACCCTTCAGAAATGATTCAGCTCTCTACCTGCAGAATCTTCTTCCTATTTGTGAAACATATAACTTTGCCATGTTAATTTACTCTAAATTTGGTGAATTTTCTTCTTTTTTGTAGCTGTTGTTTCTGAAACAGAAAACTCATCTCAGGATGCCTTCCAACTTAGCAAATTGGGAGGAAAGGATGAAAAAAATCATCAACTTCAAAAACAGTAAGCTTTTTGTTATTTCTCCATCTCATGAAACAGTTTTCTGAGTTAACAGTCATTCTTAGCTGATTGTAAGTGTAATTTCTAGCTATGTAAATACATTGTCTTTTGAAAGATGAACCTAAAGCAGTGATAGAGCTTTCAGTGATACAAAGAGCTTGCTGCAGCATGCACGCCATAGGTTTGCCTCCACTGACCTAAAGCCTGTTTTAAGCCATCATGTCTGGAGAACAGAGGACATTAGGAAGTCTTGACTGAATTCACACATGTATTCTTAGTCTACCTTTTCAGAGTGTTCTCCCAGGATAATAGAATGGGTAATAGTTAGGCTTGGCCATTTGAGCTCTGGCTGCTGAATCCTGGTTAATTCTCTAGTTAGCTGTGTGTCTCTGACAAAGTTACTTATCCTGTGCTTCAGTTTTCTCAACTGTCAAATGGCAGTTACAGTTGTTCATACATCATGTGGCTGTTTTTCAGTTCAATAGAATTATATATGTGCATGTATATGTTTTATAACATGGACACAATTCCTAAATAAGTTACAATTACAGTCAGGCTTCTGAGACCTTGTTTTCTTTCCTGTTGACTGAGTGCATTCCTCAGTGCCTGAGCAAGGCCCCTGCAGAGGGTGTTCCCTTATGTGTCCAAACAAGGCAGGCTAGAGTATAGGCCTTGTCTGAGCAGGGAGCACATCAGAATCTTGGCTTTCCAGACACAGGTCTGTGGAAGCATTACTGGGACCCTGCATCACAATGCATATTGTACTGTGTGTAAGAGACTCGAAACGTTTTTTAGGAAGTTGAAGGTAGGAATATTAAAAATGCAGACTGTTCTTGTACGTGTGAATGGACTGTGGAGTTGGGAAGAGGGCGGTAAAAATCCATTTTATTTCTTTGAAGCTCAACAGGCTCCCAGGAAGGTCCTGTGAACAATCCCAGTACCAGTGACAGCAGGCAGGACGCGCTCCACAAAGCCCCAAAGAAGAAGAGCATCAAGTCCTCCACTGGTCGTTTGTTTGGCAAAAAGAAAAAGGTTCTGCCTGGACAAACTGGCAAAGAATCACCAAGACAAGGTGGGCCGGTTTTAGGCAGCTGTCCTAACTGCTGGGATTGGGAGAGCCTGAGATTTTTCCTATGTGCCTGCTGCCGGTGTCCAGTGCCCACGAGGAGTCATGGCTGAGCATTCTCCTGACAGCCCAGTTTGCCCACATGTGAAACAAAGCAGAGCAGTGGAAATTCATTTGGCTTGAATGAATAACCCTCTTATATGCTAATTTATACTCTTGAACATTTATATGTGTTTGCTCGGAAGCTTACCCTTCAGAAATTATTCAGCTCTCTACCTGCAGAATCTTCTTCCTATTTGTGAAACATATAACTTTGCCATGTTAATTTACTCTAAATTTGGGGGCTTTTCTTCTTTTTTGTAGCTGTTGTTTCTGAAACACCAAACTCATCTCAGGATGCCTTCCAACTTAGCAAACTGGGAGGAAAAGATGAAAAAAATCATCAACTTCAAAAACAGTAAGCTTTTTGTTATTCCTCCATCTCATGAAACAGTTTTCTGAGTTAACAGTCATTCTTAGCTGATTTTAAGTGTAATTTCTAGCTATGTAAATACATTGTCTTTTGAAAGATGAATCTAAAGCAGTGATAGAGCTTTCAGTGATACAAAGAGCTTGCTGCAGCATGCACGCCATAGGTTTGCCTCCATTGACCTAAAGGCTGTTTTAAGCCATCATGTCTGGAGAACCAAGGACATTTGGAAATTTTGACTTAACTCACACATTTATTCTCAGTCTCCCTTTTCAGACTTGTCTCCCTGTCGTGAGTGTCTAGGGCACTCTGAACTCCGGGCAAGGTAAACACACACGCACGCCTTGTCGGGACACGGGGGGTACAGCGCTTGGAAAAGAAAGACAGGAGAGACACCTTTGCTGTCTGCACCGCGTTACACTGCACTGCACTGCACGCACAATCTTTATTTTAGGATTCATATATAGTAAACCCGATCAGTTCACAGAGCCCAGATAATTAAGTAGTGAAAAGGCATTCTTTGTGGCAAGCTACAACGTGACAGACTACAATGTTTATTCTAAAGCTATCTAAGTGAGGTAAATAATCACAACCAGTTCTCATAACCTCTCTAGCCCAGGAAGAAATTTATTAGCTCAAGAATGTTGTTAATTTGTCTGCTGTTAGTGTCACAAAGGGTGGCCAGCCACTTTCTCAAGACTTCTGCAAAACAAAGCCAGCTCACAGTATGGATTCCAGAGGGTGAGGGCTCACTGAGAACAGGCATTCCTATTCTACCTCCTTCTCGCATACCAGGGCGGCTATTGTAAATTGCAGGTTAGAGGGGGTTGGGCCTACAAAGTGACACCTCATCCCCCACACTTCCTTCCTTTTTATTTTTTAACAACAATTTCCATAAGATCAGGTTATTAATAGTATTTCGTCTTATGCAGTAAAAATACACAAGAACTATGGCAATGAGAACTATAATTAAACTAAGTCCCATGCCACTAAAAGTGTCGGTTATGCTCTGCCAGATTCCTTTGGAATCTAATCCTTTCAAAGATTGAGCAAGCAATTGCGCGAATTGTGCTAGGGATTTATCATCATTTTGCTTTGCAAAATCCTTGTCAATTTGATTATGCAAAGATTTTATTTCCTCCTGGGCAGAGGTGTTTTTATTTAGATACATTCTAATCATTTCCCATTTATGTTCTGTTTGATTATAAGGTCATTGGGTTATACAGAAAGTAGTTGAATTCCAATCACATTTTAAAAACACTTGATGCTGAAGAGCCAATATTTTTCTACCCATCCATTCAACTGTTTGTTTAAGGAGGTCTATTTGTTGTTGTAGTCTGGCGTTTATCTGCCACTGAGTTAACCAAAGTTCATGAGAATTTTCATGCCATAATTCTACAACATGTTTTTTTTGCAAAGAGGTTTGTAAAGCTATTTCTGAGACTGCTGCTAGGGAGGCTACAGTTATCAGACTTAACAGTACAGCAACCACTATTCCAATAAATCTTTTTGTACGTTTTAACAGATGTTTAAAAAATTCAGTAGTAACAGAAATTACCGGGTCTTGAGACCATGGTCGAGTTAAATTTATAGGCAACCAAATATGAGTTTTTTGTTGTAACAGCATAACTGTATAAGGCTTAGTGAAATTTAGTGTGCTATTTAAGCATGTAAACAATTGACAATTTAAACAAGTACAAGAAAAATGTGTAAAATTAAAAGTTCCCACTAAAAAGACATAAGGCAGAGGTGCACAAACAGTAATATTATATATTTTAAACCTAGTAAAATTATAATTAGTAGATACAGATCGACTAGTCCCTGAATATGAAACATTGTACAAGGTTACAGGTTGCATAGCCGCTGGGATCTTCCAAATATGATTTTGAAGGTGATGAGGGTATTCTTCGGCTGCAACAGCAGGGTTAGCGATTCCACCATCTCCCCACCACAAGAGAGCCGTCTTTTGATGAAATATAGGAGCTCTGTCAGTTATTTTCTTTGGATCTGGAAGACTATACACAACAGAGAGATTACATCTTGTCTCATTTCATTCAGCACATCCATTAACGAATTTTTCAAATGGTCCCCAAATAATATACCCATCAATATTTTTAGCAAATTTTCCCATACATAGTTGCCAAATTATGGGATTATAAGAAATATTTTTATAAGTGAATTCAGGGCATACAGGAAATGTATTTGTATCAGGTGCTGTTAAATTTCTCCAGGTAACATTAAAGGTTTGAGCAGCCAAGGCTTGAAGCCTTGTTCTTTTGTTGCCTGCTTTTATTCCATGTTGAATCCAATACTGCCATCCCAGAGGGATGCAAGGCGGTTCCCCAATGCAAATAGGCCTTTGATTACCATAATAAGTAAAATTGAATAATGTCCCATCATCTTGATTGTGGGGGGTTAAATCAGCCCACGGTGCTGACAAAATTTCTCTAGGTGTGGTATAAAGTAAAATATCACTAGTTCCCCATTTTACAGGTTCTAATAAAGGGGGATTTGGAATATATGCCCAGTACGAATGTGGAGGTACCTCAGTCCCCGACGCAACAGTGAGCAAGGCACATAAAGCTAAAAACAAGTTTTCAGGGTTTAAAGGCTTTCCTGCTTGAAGGACAAGCCGTTGCCCTTCTATGGTCAATTTCTTTAATTGTCCCCATGTAGGGAGGGGATTTAAATTTGGTCGCTGTGAGCGGCGGGATTTTCTTAGCTTTAATCTGGCCATGGCTGCGATAGGAACAAGCTCAGCATCCTCAGCCTCTAGCTGGTTTCGCGCTCGCTTCTGAAGGCACGGTTCCGGTTCCTTGGGGAGTTGTCTCCGGGGCTGGCGAACAGGGTCTGGAGGCGCGGATCCTGATCCATCGTCCAGGGACCCACTGCTGAATTCCATTTTCTGTGGAGATATAACCAAAACCTTTCCCCTTATAGAGCAATGTGCCCCTCTCCCATTCAGCCTCTGGAGCTGTTTTAGTCCAAATAGGTTCATTAATCACAAAGGGCTGTTGTTGCTGTTCAAAATGTTTTTCAGCTCTAGTTAATATTTCACCTTGTGGTAAATTGAGAAAATTTAAAATAAACAATGCTTGATGCAGTAATGTTTTTGGACTGTTTTGCAATTTAAACAGTATTGGTATCTGAATATCCTCCTGACTCCTCCTTTTTAATTTTTTAATTTGTAACTTAAGAGTGCCATGTGCTCTTTTAACAATAGCTTGACCCTGGGGGTTATATTCAATCCCTGTAATATGAATAATATTATGGAGATCGCAAAATTGTTTAAATGTTTTGCTAGTATAAGCAGGTCTATTATCTGTTTTGATTTTAGAAGGAATTTCCATAACTGTAAAAGTCTCCAATAAATGTACAATAACATTTTTAGTGGATTCTCCCTGTTGAGCAGTAGCCCATAGAAATGAAGAATAGGTATCAATAACTACATGTACATAAGAAAGCCGACCAAAAGAAGGTACATGTGTAATATCCATTTGCCATAACTCATTAGGTTGAATTCCTCGAGGGTTGACACCTGCGGGAATAATTCTTAAATGTAATGGTCTACAAATAGGGCAAGCTTTTACAATCTGTTTAGCTTTTGTAAAAGGTATCTTATATTTAAGATGCAAATGTCCTGCATTTGCATGATTAAATTGATGTTCTTTAACGGGTGTGGTGAACATAACTAAGGAATCCACTGCATTGTTACCTGATACTAATGGTCCGGGTAACTGAGAATGAGAACGTAAATGAGTAATAAAATAAGAATGATTTCTTTTTTGAACATGTATTTGTAAATTTTGAAATAAAGACAATAAAGCAGGCTTATTAGAATATAACACAGCTGAATAGATATTTGTCACTACTCCAACCGAATAGGCCGAATCGGCTATAATATTAATAGGTTGGTTATGAAAATCTAAAAACACTTGCAATATAGCAAAAAGTTCATTTTGTTGTACAGAGTTAAAATTTGTCTGACGTACCCAGTAAGATTTTTGAGTCCAATATGCAGCTTTATTTTTAGATTCATCTGTAAATATAGTCAAAGCTTGTGGAATTGGCTGTACAGCTAATAAGGTATTAACCACAAATTGTTGACGTCTAAAAAAATCCCATAATTTACTTTTAGGAAAATGATATGAAAAAGTTCTCATGAAATCTGCTAAAGCAATTTGTAAGGTTTCAGTAATTGACAACAAATATTCCCATTGTTCCTTAGTTAAAGGGATAACTATATTGTTTATATCTTCTCCTATCAAAGTTATAGAACGAGCTCTACCATTTATAATTAAAGCTGTAACCATGTCAATATAAGGCATAACATTTTTAGATTGTTTAGTTTTAGTGAATACCCATTCTACTGGCATAGCATTTTGACCTAAAACTGCAGAGGGATATTGAAAAGTATTAATAATATATAAAGTTAGAGGCAATTTAGGATCAATCCTAATTAAAAATGCATCCTTAATTCGTTGTTCTACAAACTGTAATTTTTGCTCTGCTTTTGCTGTTAAAGAACGAGGGCTGGATGGATCTGAAGAGCCCTGTAGAGTAGCAAACAAATGTTGTAATGCATGGGTAGGGATACCTAGTGTGGGACGAAGCCAATTAATATCCCCTAATAATTTTTGAAAATCATTTAAAGTGGATAACTTATCTCTCCTAATAGACATTTTTTGTGGAATCACCTTTTGTCTAGTAAGAATATATCCCAAATAATGACTAACTTCTTCCTTTTGAATTTTATCCTGTGCTATTACAAGTCTAAACGGAGAAAAATATTGAGGTAAAGTTTTTAAAATATCTTTTAAAACATTTCTATCACTATATCAGCATTTTTGTCTTGCCTTTTTCGCACAACCTTCCATAAACCACATGTGCCACTGTAAATATTCTGGCTCCTTTAAAAGAATTTTGGCCAAGGCTTTCCAATCATAAGGAGCAAGATTACCATACTGATCTGTTACCGATGTTATTAATTCTCTAGTGTAATGAGCCTGAGGGCCATAAAGGGTTACAGCCTTTTTTAATTTTGCTAAATCATCCATATTAAATGCTTCCCATCTAGGGGGAACTGCCTCTCCATCTATTGGCTGTGGCCTGATTACAGGGAAAGCAAAGGCAGGCTTTTCCTCATCAGAATCCCCTAATTTTGGTAGATCAGCCAAAGCTAGCTTGGCTTTACTCCAATTAGGGTTAGATGGAGGAGGTGCAGAGGGAACTATAGGCGGGTTTTGCTTAACGGAGAGTTGTTTCACCTCTTGTGTTAAATGTTGTATAGCCTGTAAAATTGGGCGATTGTCATAATTTGATCTTGCTGCGGCAGCTAAAGCTGAGTCAGCTGTAGTGGATTTTACTTTTAGTTTGGACGCCTTTTCACTACTTAAAGCGATAGCGTCATTTTGAACTACATTCTGCTCCTCCTCTGTGAGGGGCAATTCCTGAATAACTGGCTTAATTTCTAGTTGAAGATTTTCTACAATATGTTCATCTTCCATAGCTTTTAATAAAGAGTACACAACCGACCAAATAGCCCAAAAACGTAAAGGAATCTTTTCCTCCTGTTGCATAGCCCTTTCTATACTAACACTTGCCTTCCTCCATACTTCTACATCCAAAGTTCCTTCATCTGGAAACCAAGGATTATATTCTTTAATTGTATCAATACACATATCCAAGTCAGCTGACCTGAGCGATATGCCATATATAGATAATAAATGTTTAAGAATTTTTAAGAAAGGAGAAGAAGCAGATTGTCCCATTTCCCCGTAATAAAATTATACTTACCTTCCTAAGCGACCTTCGGAGTCCCTGAATTCGGGCGCCACTTGTCGTGAGTGTCTAGGGCACTCTGAACTCCGGGCAAGGTAAACACACACGCACGCCTTGTCGGGACACGGGGGGTACAGCGCTTGGAAAAGAAAGACAGGAGAGACACCTTTGCTGTCTGCACCGCGTTACACTGCACTGCACTGCACGCACAATCTTTATTTTAGGATTCATATATAGTAAACCCGATCAGTTCACAGAGCCCAGATAATTAAGTAGTGAAAACGCATTCTTTGTGGCAAGCTACAACGTGACAGACTACAATGTTTATTCTAAAGCTATCTAAGTGAGGTAAATAATCACAACCAGTTCTCATAACCTCTCTAGCCCAGGAAGAAATTTATTAGCTCAAGAATGTTGTTAATTTGTCTGCTGTTAGTGTCACAAAGGGTGGCCAGCCACTTTCTCAAGACTTCTACAAAACAAAGCCAGCTCACAGTATAGATTCCAGAGGGTGAGGGCTCACTGAAAACAGGCATTCCTATTCTACCTCCTTCTCGCATACCAGGGCGGCTATTATAAATTGCAGGTTAGAGGGGGTTGGGCCTACAAAGTGACACCTCATCCCCCACATCTCCCTAGTGGACAGAGTGGTTAAAAGTTAGGCTTAGACATTTGAACTCTGGCCGCTGAATCCTGGTTAATTCTCTAGGTAGCTGTGTGTCTCTGACAAAGTTACTTATCCTGTGCTTCAGTTTTCTCAACTGTCAAATGGCAGTTACAGTTGTTCATACATCATGTGGCTGTTTTTCAGTTCAATAGAATTATATATGTGCACGTATATGTTTTAAAACATGGACACAGGTCCTAAATATGTTACAATTATAGTCAGGCTTCTGAGACCTTGTTCTCTTTCCTGTTGACTGAGTGCATCCCTCAGTGCCTGAGCAAGGCCCCTGCAGAGGGTGTTCCCTTATGTGTCCAAACCAAGCAGGCTAGAGTACAGGCCTGCTCTGAGCAGGGAGCACATCAGAATCTTGGCTTTCCAGACACTGGTCTGTGGAAGCATTACTGGGACCCTGAATCACAATGAATATTGTATTGTGTGTAAGAGAGTTGAAAAATTCTTTAGGAAGTTGAAGGTAGGAATATTAAAAATGCACACTTTTCTTGTACATGTGAATGGACTGTGGAGCTGTGAAGAGGGTGGTAAAAGTCCATTTTCTTTCCTTCAAGCTCAACAGGCTCCCAGGATGGTCCTGTGAGCGTTCCCAGCAGCAGTGACAGCAGGGAGGACCCACTCCACAAAGCTCTAAAGAAGAAGAGCATCAAGTCCTCCACTGGTCGTTTGTTTGGCAAAAAGGAAAAGGGTTCGCCTGGACAAACTGGCAAAGAATCACCAAGACAAGGTGGGCCGGTTTTAGGCAGCTGTCCTAACTGCTGGGATTGGGAGAACATGCCCTTTTTCCTATGTACCTGCCACAGGTGTCCAGTGCCCACAAGGAATCATGGCTGAGCATTCTCCAGACAGCCCAGTCTGCCCACATGTGAACCAGAGCAGAGCAGTGGACATTCATTTGGCGTGAATGAATAACCCTCTTATATGCTAATTTATACGCTTGAACATTTATATGTGTTTGCTCAGAAGCTTACCCTTCAGAAATTATTCAGCTCTCTACCTGCAGAATCTTCTTCCTATTTGTGAAACGTATAACTTTGCCATGTTAATTTACTCTAAATTTGGGGAATTTTCTTCTTTTTTGTAGCTGTTGTTTCTGAAGCCGAAAACTCATCTCAGGATGCCTTCCAACTTAGCAAATTGGGAGGAAAGGATGAAAAAAATCGTCAACTTCAAAAACAGTAAGCTTTTTGTTATTTCTCCATCTCATGAAACAGTTTTCTGAGTTAACAGTCATTCTTAGCTGATTGTAAGTGTAATTTCTAGCTATGTAAATACATTGTCTTTTGAAAGATGAACCTAAAGCAGTGATAGAGCTTCCAGTGATACAAAGAGCTTGCTGCAGCATGCACACCATAGGTTTGCCTCCATTGACCTAAAGCCTGTTTTAAGCCATCATGTCTGGTGAACAGAGGACATTTGGAAATCTTGACTGAATTCACACATGTATTCTCAGTCTACCTTTTCAGAGTGTTCTCCCAGGATGATAGAATGGGTAATAGTTAGGCTTGGCCATTTGAGCTCTGGCCGCTGAATCCTGGTTAATTCTCTAGTTAGCTGTGTGTCTCTGACAAAGTTACTTATCCTGTGCTTCAGTTTTCTCAACTGTCAAATGGCAGTTACAGTTGTTCATACATCATGTGGCTGTTTTTCAGTTCAATAGAATTATATATGTGCATGTATATGTTTTATAACATGGACACAATTCCTAAATAAGTTACAATTACAGTCAGGCTTCTGAGACCTTGTTTTCTTTCCTGTTGACTGAGTGCATCCCTCAGTGCCTGAGCAAGGCCCCTGCAGAGGGTGTTCCCTTATGTGTCCAAACAAGGCAGGCTAGAGTACAGGCCTGCTCTGAGCAGGGAGCACATCAGAATCTTGGCTTTCCAGACACAGGTCTGTGGAAGCATTACTGGGACCCTGCATCACAATGCATATTGTACTGTGTGTAAGAGACTTGAAATGTTTTTTAGGAAGTTGAAGGTAGGAATATTAAAAATGCAGACTGTTCTTGTACGTGTGAATGGACTGTGGATCTGGGAAGAGGGTGGTAAAAATCCATTTTATTTCTTTGAAGCTCAACAGGCTCCCAGGAAGGTCCTGTGAACAATCCCAGTACCAGTGACAGCAGGCAGGACGCGCTCCACAAAGCCCCAAAGAAGAAGAGCATCAAGTCCTCCACTGGTCGTTTGTTTGGCAAAAAGGAAAAGGGTCCGCCTGGACAAACTGGCAAAGAATCACCAAGACAAGGTGGGCCGGTTTTAGGCAGCTGTCCTAACTGCTGGGATTGGGAGAGCATGCGCTTTTTCCTATGTACCTGCCACAGGTGTCCAGTGCCCACAAGGAATCATGGCTGAGCATTCTCCAGACAGCCCAGTCTGCCCACATGTGAACCAGAGCAGAGCAGTGGACATTCATTTGGCGTGAATGAATAACCCTCTTATATGCTAATTTATACGCTTGAACATTTATATGTGTTTGCTCGGAAGCTTACCCTTCAGAAATGATTCAGCTCTCTACCTGCAGAATCTTCTTCCTATTTGTGAAACATATAACTTTGCCATGTTAATTTACTCTAAATTTGGTGAATTTTCTTCTTTTTTGTAGCTGTTGTTTCTGAAACAGAAAACTCACCTCAGGATGCCTTCCAACTTAGCAAATTGGGAGGAAAGGATGAAAAAAATCATCAACTTCAAAAACAGTAAGCTTTTTGTTATTTCTCCATCTCATGAAACAGTTTTCTGAGTTAACAGTCATTCTTAGCTGATTGTAAGTGTAATTTCTAGCTATGTAAATACATTGTCTTTTGAAAGATGAACCTAAAGCAGTGATAGAGCTTTCAGTGATACAAAGAGCTTGCTGCAGCATGCACGCCATAGGTTTGCCTCCACTGACCTAAAGCCTGTTTTAAGCCATCATGTCTGGAGAACAGAGGACATTAGGAAGTCTTGACTGAATTCACACATGTATTCTTAGTCTACCTTTTCAGAGTGTTCTCCCAGGATAATAGAATGGGTAATAGTTAGGCTTGGCCATTTGAGCTTTGGCCGCTGAATCCTGGTTAATTCTCTAGTTAGCTGTGTGTCTCTGACAAAGTTACTTATCCTGTGCTTCAGTTTTCTCAACTGTCAAATGGCAGTTACAGTTGTTCATACATCATGTGGCTGTTTTTCAGTTCAATAGAATTATATATGTGCATGTATATGTTTTATAACATGGACACAATTCCTAAATAAGTTACAATTACAGTCAGGCTTCTGAGACCTTGTTTTCTTTCCTGTTGACTGAGTGCATCCCTCAGTGCCTGAGCAAGGCCCCTGCAGAGGGTGTTCCCTTATGTGTCCAAACAAGGCAGGCTAGAGTATAGGCCTTGTCTGAGCAGGGAGCACATCAGAATCTTGGCTTTCCAGACACAGGTCTGTGGAAGCATTACTGGGACCCTGCATTACAATGCATATTGTACTGTGTGTAAGAGACTCGAAACGTTTTTTAGGAAGTTGAAGGTAGGAATATTAAAAATGCAGACTGTTCTTGTACGTGTGAATGGACTGTGGAGCTGGGAAGAGGGTGGTAAAAATCCATTTTATTTCTTTGAAGCTCAACAGGCTCCCAGGAAGGTCCTGTGAACAATCCCAGTACCAGTGACAGCAGGCAGGACGCGCTCCACAAAGCCCCAAAGAAGAAGAGCATCAAGTCCTCCACTGGTCGTTTGTTTGGCAAAAAGAAAAAGGTTCTGCCTGGACAAACTGGCAAAGAATCACCAAGACAAGGTGGGCCGGTTTTAGGCAGCTGTCCTAACTGCTGGGATTGGGAGAGCCTGAGATTTTTCCTATGTGCCTGCTGCCGGTGTCCAGTGCCCACGAGGAGTCATGGCTGAGCGTTCTCCTGACAGCCCAGTCTGCCCACGTGTGAAACAAAGCAGAGCAGTGGAAATTCATTTGGCGTGAATGAATAACCCTCTTATATGCTAATTTATACTCTTGAACATTTATATGTGTTTGCTCGGAAGCTTACCCTTCAGAAATTATTCAGCTCTCTACCTGCAGAATCTTCTTCCTATTTGTGAAACATATAACTTTGCCATGTTAATTTACTCTAAATTTGGGGGCTTTTCTTCTTTTTTGTAGCTGTTGTTTCTGAAACGGAAAACTCATGTCAGGATGCCTTCCAACTTAGCAAATTGGAAGGAAAGGATGAAAAAAATCATCAACTTCAAAAAAAGTAAGCTTTTTGTTATTTCTCCATCTCATGAAACAGTTTTCTGAGTTAACCATCATTGTTACCTGATTTTAAGTGTAATTTCTAGCTATTGTAAATACATTGTCTTTTGAAAGATGAACCTAAAGCAGTGATAGAGCTTTCAGTGGTACAAAGAGCTTGCTGCAACATGCATGCCATAGGTTTGCCTCCATTGACCTAAAGCCTGTTTTAAGCCATCATGTCTGGAGAACAGAGGACATTCAGAAACTTTGACTGAACTCACATGTGTATTCTCAGTCTTCCTTTGCAGAGTTGTCTCTCTAGATGATAGAATGGGTAATAGTTAGGCTTGGCCATTTGAGCTTTGGCCGCTGAATCCTGGTTAATTCTCTAGTTAGCTGTCTGACAAAGTTATTTAGCTTAGGCTTCAGTTTTCTCAACTGTCAAATGACTGTTACAGTTGTTCATGCACCGTGTGGCTTTTTCTCAGTTTGATAGAATTATATATGTGCATGTATATGTTTTAAAACATGGACACAAGTCCTAAATAAGCTATAATTAAGGTCACTGTGGTGACTTCTATTGTTTACACAAGTGGTCCTCCAGAAGCATTTACCGTGATATAATTTTACATTTTATCTGAGATTGGATCTCTACTTTACAGTGTATTATTGAACTATAATCCTCTACTAAATCTTAAGGGGCTGAGGAGTGGAGTATAAGTGAGAGCGTACTGGCTTGACATACCATCCCTAGGTCCACATAAAGATAGATTCTGAAAATAATATATACTGTTCCGAATGATTTTGCATAGGGGAGCACAGGCACCAACATATCAGGGAAGTATGTACACTTCTCTGATGCAGGATTGGTTGTGTAAGCTGATCACACCCAAAACTAGAGTTATAAGTGAACTAGATAGGTTGAGACATTTTCCTAGTGAGATGATTAATAAAATATCAATCAAAAAGCTTTCTGCAACAAAATCAGACAGTATGTAATGTCTAAGAGGTACAATTTGAACTTGACAGTAGGGAAAGTTTGAAAGCCTAAGGTAAGATGGGCACACTGGTCTTGAGAAAAGGTGAAAGTTGGTGGGTTCTTGGATAAATTTGTATATGGGAAACATCAGGTGTCCACTTCTCAGTGAAGCTAGTACTGTGTGGAACTCAGAGTGCAAAGGCCCTGACACTAGCGTTGCACTCGAATCCCTAGGAACCCTTTCTGCTGGAAATTTATGAAATCTCACTCATTTTAGTTGTCTTCTCTGAATTCATGACTGCCTTTTTTTTTAAACTTCTATTGGTATGTGTTTGCAGTACATAATAATCATGTTGGTTCTTGGGAGTTGATACATGTCCATGACACATTTCTATTCTTTATTTTCCACCATCCTTGTATTTTGCCAGAATCCCATTCATGCATTTCTCTTATAAACCCTTGTCATGTATACAGATTAAAAATAAGACTATTAAAAAGAAATATATATATATATATATAAGATATATATATCAATATCAATATATATTATATATATATATCAAACATACCAGACTATAAGCCAAAACACATATAAAAGATGGAACACAGTTGTACTAAGTCGAAGTATTCCTTTAGATATATTTTCCATGCTGAGTTACAATAACTTTTTTCTTCTATTGTCTGTCTTTTATTTCATAGCTAACTTATATATGAAGTTTTTCATATTATAATGAGTCTTTTGTTTTTTATTTTATTCATTTATTTTTTGAGACAAGAATCACACTTTGTAATTCAGGCTGGACTGAACTCACAGCAGTCCTCCTGATTTAGTTGCCCAAGTGGTGGGATTACAGGCATGTGCTACCGCACTTGGCCATAGTAACTGTTTTAAGCAGCTCAACAGTGATGACATGCCATTGCAGGTGAAATTCTGTTATGGAAACATTCTATACAAATACTCAATCTTTGGTGCTCTGTAAATAGAATTTTATAGTCCCAT